CATAGGTAGGAGGGAAAGCATCTGAGCAGCCATTAGTGCTGAATGCAGAGGAGAAGAGAGAGTTTTGGTTTGGGAGGTAAGAGTGGGATCACAGGGTGGCAAGGTAGGGGATGCAAGGTTTGGGGAGACATAACAGAGCTGGTCAGAGGATACGGCTGCTGGCCATGTGAAAAGTGAGGTTGTAAAACCATTTGTGTCCTACTAGTCCTGGGGAGACAAGTTCAGAAGGAATCTTGCCCCTAGCCACCATACTTGTAGAAGTAACACTGCCAGGATGGTCTCCAACAAGTCAGAGAGATCAGCAACTATTTTCAAGGAGTGGAGTTTCAGTAGTGTTACAAGCAACTGCCAGAAAAAGTCTGAGAAGGGGCCATTAGTAAGGACATCTTTTCATAGGAAAAAAGTCACAAAAATTTCCATGTTATTTCTTTAAAGATTAAATAAAAGATGCTGAAGGTCCTGTAAGACCCTCAGCAGTGCATGCGTACCTTACTGCCAATGATCGAGCGAACTTCATCGTCTGGTGAGGTGGGGGTCCCAGATATATCTGGGTTGCTGTTGCTGAGGCTCCGTGAGCGATTCAAGTTAAGGCTTGCTGGTCGGACAGCAGATCGAGCCATGGTGGCATAATGCACTGATCCCCCTAAGCCACCAGGACCTACGGTGGTGTATGAAAAAACACTCTGTTAGATCATCAGTCAGAGCCCTGATCTCATGCTGCTTTACACCACCCTGATGCAGCAAACCCTCCATATAAACAGTAGGTCTAGCCTGTAATGAAATCTTCCCTGTGCCTGCCTCTGCCTGGTTTTCCAAGGCAAGCAGCAGGGAGAAAGGGACGGGATTAAAAAGCTGTTTTGTCCACTGATCTGTGGGAAGCAGGAATCTCCCTGTGCATTTAGGCAGCAAGTGTGAGGTATGCCTTTAGCTAAAGAGATACTTTCCAGACCTCAGACTCAAAAACCACTGAAGAACTGGGCACAGTTTTAAGTACGCAACCTTCCCAACCCTCTCAGAGGTTTTCCACTCCATGCAAGAAGCAAGTGCTGGGCACAACAGTCCTTCCAAAGCCTAGTTTTCTGTGGCTGTCATTCACACCAACCCTTCCCCCATGCAGATATATCCCCTGTTCTCAAGAGGGGTGGAATTAATCTGTTTTCCTCCTGTATCCAGACATGTGTTTTCAAGTATTTCATAGAATGATAGAATCATTTAGGTTGGAAAAGACCTTTAAGATCATCCAGTCCAACCATTAACCTAACATTACCAAGTCCACCACTAAACCAGTTAAGGGTAGAGTAGCAATTTCGTGTTTCCTGGCTTGGTGACTGGGTTATTTTTAATGAAAGTAAAAACTAGGAATCATTAAGATTGGAAAGGATCTCTAAGATCATCAGTCCAATCATCAACCCAACACCACCGTGCCTACTAAACCATATCCCAGAGTGCCACGTCTACCTGTTTTTTGAACGCTTCCAGGGATGGTGACTCCACCATCTCTCTGGGCAGCCTGTTCCAATGCTTGACTACCCTTTCCATGAAGAAATTTTTCCTAATACCCAATCTAAATCTTCCCTGGCACAGCTTGAGGCCATTTCCTCTCGTCCTATCGCTAACTACTTGGGAGAAGAGACCAACACCCACCTCACTACAACCTCCTTTCAGGTAGTTGTAGAGAGCGATAAGGTCTCCCCTCAGCCTCCTCTTCTCTAGGCTAAACAACCCCAGTTCCCTCAACTGCTCCTCATAAGACCTCACACTCCTTTGCCAGTGTTTCAACTTTTGCTGGAACCAGAGAAAAGTACAAAAGTACTAGTGAAGGAGACTGGGAAACATGACAGGCCAAGAGTGTACCGCATCTGTCTAACTTGCTACAGAAAACAAAACTAAAAAAAACAGTATTTTGCCATAATTTAGCCTCATGGTCTTTCAGTGGTGACACTGTTATTTAAGATCATCAAATAGTTAAATCTCTGACATGGCTAACTGTAATTAAACTCATCTTGTAAATGGCTACACTGGATCATAGAGAAAGTTAATAACAGGGCTTGGCAGGGAACCAGCATGCAGTTGGAGCTCAAGAGCACCTGCCAGCAAGCAATTTCTGCTTGCTTTTAGCAAACTGTGACTTGAAATAAAATGAAAAAAGAGCTACCTGGTGACGGTGAGTTGGGATAGGTATTTGGTAGGCGAAAAACATAATAAATATAGGAAGCAAGAAGGCTGTTCCTGCCATGCTGATCCTGGTTTCCGTCCAAGTTCTTGTGAAGTCTGTTTATGATTGATGCCATTGCTTCAAAAGATGCTTGTCCCAGGTTAACTGAAAGTAATGTGAGGAGTTTGTTTTAGACTGCAGAAGTACCCATAAGCAAATCCTAAATGTGCATTTTGTCCATCTTCTAAAGGATAAATGGTGAAGCTTGCTAAGAGTATAGCAAGCATTTCTCATGAAAAACTGAAGCTGGTATTTGAACTAGGTCTAATGAACAGATTGACAGGAAGACAGGTGTTGCAGTGATAAGCTTCCACTTTTATTAATAACTAATTTAATGAATTTAGGCCTGATTTCTGGAATCAGACCAACTTTGGTCACCAACTGCAATGGTAACAAGATTAAGTCCTTGTTTAATTGATGGATAATATCCTTTGGATATTTATCATAATTTTCTCACTTAATTATTTCCTCCATTTAAGCCTCAGCCAAAATACAAACTGTATCAAAAAAGAACAATTCCATTCTGTTTTGGAAAAAAAATCCGTTCTAAAAATGAGCACAGAAATCTACATGCAGACAGAGGCAGATATTCTAAACAAATTAGGGATGAAGCAGAGAGCAGCTGGAGACTGTAAGTCTTATTTTTTTTTAAAACTAGACACTAATGTCCTCAATGCTCCATACAGACAAACTAAACCAATACAGAAGACTAAAAAAGTGAAAGAGCTTTAAAATACAAAATAAAAATTCAAGCAAAATTCTTCCCCAGAAAGATAATGTTTCTAACATAAATGATTGCTATTTTTAAAGCAGTCTTAGATACCTGTATTCCATCATGTCCAAACTCAAGTTTCCTACAAAAAATCCCAACTGCTATTTTAAATACTAAGGAGCTAATCCTGACTTGCACTTGAGATTTTTTTGTACTGCCAGAGCATAGCATGTAACAGGGAGCAAAACGAAGGATTATTCATGCTGACAGTATCAGATCCACAACAGCTAGAGGAATATACAGCATCTGGATCTTCTTATCTTACCTACTTCAAGATTTTCCAAGGTGACTAGTAAGGCTGAAATTCTTAGTTTCTCAATGTCAGTATGGAGATGCCTTGACAGGCTCCAGTGCTAAGAAAATGCTGAGCAGCCAACTCATGGAAGTCAGGCCCCTTTCTGGTGTCTCAACTTGGACACCAAATTACTAGTCATTCTTGGAAACCTTTGCATTAAATATTGCTCCTGTGTATATCACCACTGATCTGGATGCTAGCATGTTTTATTTTGAAGATACATGGTGTATTAGTGGCACTAAAATAAAGCATAAAAATTGACTTTTTTATTTCTACATAAATATGATAAAATTGGAAGTGTCAAACTTTCAGCTATGTAATTCTCTATAAAACTTAAATAGAATACCTATTTGGCCTGCAATGACAGGAGGTCTTACTACCAGAAGAATCAGTTTGTCAAGCAGGAGATGAAGAAATCGCACTACCGGCTCCAGCTGAGAGGAATTTAAAGCTGAAATGCTGCTCTTCAGTTCATTTTCCAAGTTGTTTTCCATAATTCTCATGTCTCCTATTCGCACAGGGAACATGTGCTCATCCAGAGCATGGACAAGTGCAAAGAACTTGTCAAGATAAGGGTCCTACACACAAGCAAAAAAACCCAATAATCAGCAAGAAGCTCCAAAAGTAACTTCACTTCCTATGGATTTGTACCTCATGGAAGGATTCTCTCCCTCATTCTTCTATCTGACCATTTAATCTCACAAAATTAGCAGAAACTCAACATCTTTGAGAGCTCTGCCCATATGTCTAATTCAACTGAAACCAACCAATGTTCAGAAGTTGTCAGAGCGAAACTAGAGGACACACAGACTGTGCATTCTTAGAAAAACAGACAAAGATGTACTAAAACAATGTTACTATCTACAGCAGAAATAAAATACACCAAAAAAAAATCAAATTACATACTGGGAATTAATAAAACAAAAGTTGAAATGATTAGTCAAAATTATTGTCTTTCTTTTCAGATCAAAGAAAGAAAGATGAAAAATACATGGAGAAACAAAAGAGGCAGAGGGGAAAAGGAAAAACAAGAAAACATCATTTGCCTGGACTGTATGTCAGACCCGTTGTATTAAACACAACAGTCTGAGGTCTGAAAACACTGTTGGCCATTCACCCCCTGTGAATAAAGGCCAAACTGCTCATATTTTTAAGCAGAACTTTCAAATATACTCACAGCAGAAGGTGGAATAACAGGTCTGCTGGCTCAGAACCGGAAATGACATTGCAATTTCACTACAAGTAATTATTATACTCTTCACGGTATCAACTTTGACAGCATTTCAACTGTCAAAAGACTATCAAACTCTTTTTATTACAATGACTGCTCTTAACATTTACCTGAGTGTGGAGGGATGATACAGCAACAACTTCTACATTGAAAACCCCTTTGTGGTTATCCACCCACTTCATTCCAGGGAGTGGAACCTGCAAGTTAACGGAGAGATGAGTAAGGACGTGACAGAAAGCAGAGCACTTCTAATTACAATTGCCATTTCTTTTCATTTCATTGTCACATCACACACATGTACCCACACACGCACCTGTCTAAACTTCACACTATTTAAGAAATAAATAACCTGAGAGTTAAAAATACATATGCATACACACACATATATGTGCACATTCACTCTTTCACTTTTTAACAGAAGTATTCTCCTGCTCATTTTCAGCATCAAGAACAACTCACCTCTGGAGAAAGCACTGAATAAGCCTGTGGCGGTTTTTCCAATGAAACAGGTAGGCAGAACTGACCAGTCTTCAACCGTCCATTTTGAAGCATCGGTATCCACTTGAAGGAGGAAGAATTAACAAAAGAAAAAACAAAACCACACACTTCTTAAGGCTTTCTTGAACTTTGCAGGCTTGACTGTCAAATTCTCAAATTCTACAATGGTGTATGAGTTGACAGTGATGCTAAACAAATTGCAAACAAACGCATTATGAATATATCCTGTGCTGAAAAACATAAAGACTGAAAGACACTCACAGTGTATCCGACTGGAGTCTCCAGGGGAGTGTTTTGTTTTTGTTGGCAACTGACATGGTAGAAAGTAAAAAGCAGGTGGTGGTGATCGGTTAAAGTGGCTGGAAGCTTAATCTTGATTTCTTCGTGAAAATCAGGCGATCTGTGCAGAGACCAGACCCTCAGCTGAGTCATCAATACCAACACTGTGGTTTACTACCTTATGCTCAAGACCAAATCCTTTGAGTTAAAGTATCTGGAGGGCAGGAAGTATATGGACTATCCCAAGGGATTAAAGCTTCACTTTCTGATCACCAAGGACTGGAAAAACTTTGTGTATGCATTTACAGTCCACAAAAAATGAAAGTGGCAGCCCCCTCCTCACACAGGCATTCTGAACTGCGCTGCTCCCCATGAGCGATAAACTCGTCTCAAGGCGGAGACTGCCACAACCCCCAACCTGCAGGACAGCATTCTCTCCCCAGTACATCTCTCCCTGGTACAGCTACAAAGACTATCAACATGTTAAGGCCAGATTCAGCACTCCTTACCCCAGCTGCAATGAAATTATTTTCAAGACCAAGTACTTTCAATTTGTAACTAAAGTCTAAAAGGCTCCAGCAAAACCACAAAGCACATGAGTTTATAACGTAAATCTTTGTGCCTACCAACTTGAAGCTTGTACTTAAAGCATCTGCTGAGTTGGGCTACGTACTCAGGATCACAGCCCCTGACACAATGCTCTTGATTTGTACCAGAGCAAACAAAGACTCCAGCTCCCAGTCATCACAAAACTCTAACGACAGTATCAACTGACACGGCAGTTGTTGTGAGTGCTATGCAGATAGTCACTGTTAAGTAATTAACACTGAGACAGAGTCACTGGTGAGTTACTCCACTTTCACACTGGTAAAACTTCCTTTGGGTGGAATCACACTACCCATACGGGGCCGTGTCCTTTCACACGGGGCCATGTACTTTCACAAGCTGTCATGTGTTTTACCTGTTGTGATATACTACAGCTGTGTATGCTTCTTTGGAAAATTCAGGACAGCTAGATTTGCCAAAGATGACCTGCAAAAAAGAAAAAAAAAACACAGAAATCCCCCTATAAAACTGTGCCAAGAATTTGTTCCATAATCCCACAGAGACATTTACAGCTCTATTCACGAGTCTGTGCAACCATGTATAGCTGCATCTGCTTGTTTCATGCCCCTTCACTTATATGCAATGTTGTACTTAGTTGCTGAAAAGTTCACAATTTTAATAATCCCAGTGACACACGCACATAGATATGGCTGAAGAACTGATGAATGTAACCACCCCTATGCAGATCTTCACCAAGTGCTGATCACTTCTGGCCCCGAACACAAATATAACGACCACCTTTAATTTTTTTGGCATGGAAGCAAAGATGCTATTCCAAACACAAGGGTGTCCACTGCAAACATCTCAGGTTAAAATACTAGCTACTACATTGTTACTTTGCAAACTCTATACAAATGTACTCTTTGTTCTGAAATATTGTAATTTTATATTGCCCTGGACTTGTTATTTTGAAATGTATTTCAGCAAGGTTTTCTTTAACACAGGGATTTTATGCCTGCAACAGGTACTCTGCCTTATTGGCATGCAGCATTGACATGGAGCACAAAGTACTTCCCTCACCGGCATAGCATTGCTTGGGTCCTCTCCATACATGAACTGGACTTTTACAGTGATATTCCTGGCAGATCCTTGGCGGTTGGCAAAGTTAAGGCTCTGAGGATACACATAAAGAAGATTTCTGCGAGAGACAAAGGCATGAAGTGAGCATCTCCGTGTGAGAATGAGAGGTTCACACTTCTATTAATGTTACTATTTAAACCTTTATGGAAACACTCAGAGAGCCAAAGTGAAGGGTTTGACATTTTCCATTAGCCACATGGTCTTCTCTTCAACATAAGTGCACACGCCTACAAGCAATTCCTTATTTTAGACATCAAAAGTCACAATTTTTTAAACTGCCATCATACTTCAAAATAGTTCCTATTTATAAGGGTGCTTGCAAAATATATCTAAAAATTTACCAATGATTCTACAATCTAAGAAGTTCAAGTGGAAAGAAAACATATGAATAGAAAAGCACAGAGAAGCATTTATTTGTTCATCACAGAGCAGCTAGTTCCTGTTAAATACCTTTCTTGTTGTGACCTGTCCTTTTTTTTTTGTCCTTTTTTTTTAATAAAAAAATCTCCTTACATCATGATGACTTCAGGTTACACCTCTCCTCTGAAAACTGATTAAACTAAATGGATATCTGTAGCTTCAGCAGATACGCAATCTTTGCAATGACTCAGATGGAATGGTGTCTCCAATTCCATGCCTGAATACGACACTTTGGGAAGGATGGGGATCAACTAAAACAGCTGAGAAGCAAGAATAGTTAGGAGCTCTGGAAAACAGTGGGGATGGCCAGACTGAACCAGGAATGTTTAGTTTTGAGGGAATGGCTTGGGCCATGGTAATGACAACACTCCCAGGTACGTGAAGAACTCCGCAAAGACTGAAGCAATAAAGTGATCATCACATCCACTGGGAAAATGACAGGACATAACGGGCTGAAATTGCAGCACAGGAGATTTAGGTTAGATGCAAGGGAAAATGTTCTGACTGTAAGTCTAGTTAAGCAGTAGAACAAATTGCCTGGGGAGGGTGTGAAATCTCCGTTTTCCTAGCTTTTGAGGACAGGTGAGGCAGTCACCTGTCCAGATCGGTTTATAGACAACCTCAACCTTCACTCAGGGCAAGGGGGGGGCCCACATTTTGGAAGCCTCTTCCTGGTCCATTTCTCCAAGCCTATGATTACTTGAAACACAAGAGTGATGAGATGCAAATTTCTGCAATATTTTCCATCCTCTTAGCCCTGCTGAGTCCCTGCCAACAAAATGCAAATTGGATTCACGTTAGCAAAAATGTCCACTACAAGCCCCCTACCTGCCCTACGAGCAAGTAATTTATGCCACAGAAAGTTCCTTGCATGTTCCTATGAAGACAAAAAAGACAACAGCCCCTGAACCATTCCACTCAACATACTCAATTATTCAAAGGAAATATACCTTCTTTTGCCCCCAAACAAGCAGAAGTGTATGAATTATTATATGTCTTTAAAAAGTCAGCCTGGAAATCCCCTATCCATACCCCCACAGCCCTGCCCACCAGCCCAGCATATCATTCCCTCTCAGACACCCTTGTTCCTAATGGCTCCAACAAGAGGGACCAAGAGGGATGCTCACTACAGGCTACTCAGCAACCCTGTCGTTACGCGAGAGGTTCATGTTGCTGCCTTGCTCCTGCTAGGGATAAAAGACTGGCGTGCTGCATTTTGCCCAAACACTGAAGCAACCAATTCTGTAACAAGCCCTGGCTTGTAAGGCAGGAGGTAAAAGAGGTTCTCTCCCCTTCTGTCCCCCTCTGGGAACTATTCAGTGAATCTGAACACAATTTGTAAGTAGTTTCCAACTGTTCCTTGTCCCAGAGAGACAAGAGACAACAGATGGGCATAGAAAACTGCAGTGAGGAGCACAGCAGGACAGCATTTTAAGCATAATAAAGCAGGCGCTACAGAGTGCTGGAAAGAGTAGATTGAAAACAAAAAGACCCTTTTTTTGATTGTCAGGAGGGCAGTGATTTGGTTGCTCAGTGAAGGCACCTGGTGCCTTTTTAGATGCCATGAAGCATTAGCCTAAACACTAGGGTTTAGGCTACCCACTGGGCTGGCAGTGGGTCACTCTCCTGGAGGAGCGGCTGGAAAGGTGAGCTGCCCTAGGCTGTCTGAAATTGCACTAGATGTCAATGTTTCAGCAAATGAATCCCACCCAAGGACTTGGTTCTGATGGCAACTCTATTTGCTCCCCAATAGCCATGGGTACTCCCATCCGTACAGACATGGGCTAATGCTAGTCCTGAAGAATTCTCTAAGAGCCTCCGAAGAAGAAGATACCTCCTCCAGGTCAGCACTTATATAGAGCAGTCCAGCTGTATAGCTCCAGAAGGCTATACAGGGCAGCATTATGAAGCCAGGCTTTTTTTCACCCCTCCAGGCAGAGGAATATGCTTAGCTGGCATGTGGGAATTTCTTCCCTTTCAAGTCCTTCATGGCGAATTAAGTTTTTTAATCCCATCCCCATTGGTCGCTTTGCCTAATCAACACTCTCTTACTATTTCAGAGGGGGCCTGTGCCATTTTTGTGACTCTACTAAATTGCTTTGTTCTGGCATGAATACATTTGCTCCTTGATGTTCTTTTTAAAATGAAAATGGGTATGAAAATTTACTCTAAAATGTACATTGCTCATAAAACTTTTATTAAGTATTATTAGTGCTTAAGAGAAGGATTTAATGTATTTGTGAAGCCAGGCTACAAGATCCCTATATTAAAGGCAGTCTTATGCTTAGGACTGATTTATGCTGAATAGCAGAGATGAGCCTAAACCAAGCTTGCAGTTCTCCTACCACCTCTTCTGCTCGGGCTTGGCCTCCTGGGAGCAAAGGAGACATTTCACCAATTTGATGCCACTCTAGAAAGAGGGTGCTAGAGACCTGCAAGCAGGCGTTACAGCTGATGTTACATGGCAGGCCAGGCTTTAGCTGCATTCGTAACAACAAGCACTGTAGGAAATGTACCGCTCTTTGTTCCCTTTCAAGCCCTTGTCATGTGAAAGTCTCAGGGGGCAATTATCCTGCATTTCATTGGGAAGAAGCTCATGTTGCTTAGGGGAGTTCAGATGCACAGATCCCACTGTCAGACGGGGAGAGCTGGATGCTTGCTCCTGTTCAGGCAGCTTCCCTCCAGAGGGTTTCCTATTACAGGCATCATCCTTTTGTTGAGAATTTACATATAGAGAGGGGAAAAAATTCCCCTGCTTGCACTTCAGAATGTGACCTCAAATGAAAAATCCTATTTTACCTTACCCTACATAGGTAAAAGCTGCAGATCTTCCTGTCTGCAACAAGCACGCTTACAGGAGCCATGGAAAGAGACTCACAGCTGAAAAACCGACAGGAATATTATAAATCTCTTGAAGGAACCGATGCCCCTGTCTAACAGCCACCCTGGGAGGCTGACTTCTCGGTTTCTCCTCTGTTACCCTCTTCCCTTTGATTCATTACATCTCAAGTTCTCATCTTATTATTGTGCACAAATACCTGGGCTCAGTAGACATTGTAGGACACCAGAAGTGTAGCTACTATCCTCTGAAAAAAGTGAGACAAGACTTCTGTGCAAAGTGATGGTAGAAGCTGCCTCACTGCACAGGTGAGATGACAGGCATCAAAGCTGCTGGGCTTTTAAAGGCAAAGTAAGTGGCATGGCACTGCATGTAGTCTTCAGAAATCAAGAGAGGACAGCCCCAGCCCTGTATTTTACACAAGCAGTAGGAAGCAAGAGGAGAGAGCAACTTTCTCGTGGGCCAGACATTGTGGGGAGGTCTCATATCACAGTGTTCAATTCTCTATAGAAGGGATAAAGGGAGGAGAAGGGATTGACCATGAAAATAACACTGCAACACTAACAGCCATGTTAAGCATGCACTGATTAACAGAAGGACCGCTAGTCCTTATGCTTACAGATAACAGCGACTTCTTAATGATACTAGTTGCAGATTTCTATCAACAAAAGTTTCAGCCAGAAGCTTTAAACGCAAGGACTTGTGTCTCAAGCTTATATTAAAATGCTATGCAAAATGTATGCAAAGCTTATACTATTACCTCAAACAGATCTCAAAAGTACTTTTACCTCCATAAAATGAACTGCTAAAGTGCAAAGGCTTCCCAAGCCATGGAAATAATGGCACCAGGCACTCCTCTAAATATTTATATAGTGTGATTGCAGCCATTTTGCAAAATCCTTCATAAAGGTTTTAAAACATTAAGAGCTGATCCTAACTCTTAGAGGGAATGTCTAACTATTATGAAAATTTCCCTTTCCAGTAAAACCCAGAGACCTTTTTCTTTGCCTTATTCCTACTATAAAAATCATCTGAAGCCCATTTAATAAGGGTCACCCAGGTGCACAGGAGACCTTCAGGATCATGTTTGTTATATACACCTTTTCTTGACTGGGCTAACAGCTCTCAGAGGCAGGATTCCCCCTTAGGGTTTCTACAGCCCCTGAATCTTACAGATTAATCATACCAGGTTTTCACCCCTCTGCTTTCCTGTGTCCTGCTCTTCTTATGGGCTCTGCGACTGCTGTAATGTCTAAGGGTGGTATGTCGTAGTGAGCTTATCACTGCTTGACTTTATTGGCACTGGCATTAACACAGAAACGTGCTTGGCAGCCACTTGTGCTTTTTCAATATTTGACATCAGAGCATTTTGACCACCTCTCCCATTTACAAAACAAACTTTTCTAAAGGGTAGCGTCATGTCTGAGCAGCGCCCCGGCACAAGCAAGCTGCCGTAGCTTGCTGAGTTACCGTGCATCAGCTAAGCTGCAACAACTGCGGCACAGGAACGGGCAGTGCACAGCGACATGCAGGAACTTCTCAAGCTGCAGAAACCTGGTAAAATGTCTGATCTCCAGTTGCTTGGTTATTGCTATTTCTTGAATAACTTCCTATGTTTTTCTGAAGACTAAGCCAAGAATAAAGATTTTGGGGGCTGACGGCGTTAGGAAGAATTCAAAACTATTTAAAACAAAACTGAGAAAGACTTCTTGTAAGAAATAGCTAAAAGAACAGAAAACAAGTAATTTGAAACCCTGTAAAACCAAAGCCACTCAAGTACTTTGAAGTGGATTGCACAA